TGCGCTCAACCATGGCCACCTGCTCCTTCAGGTCATCTTGGCTCCTCAGAGCATCATCCAAATGCAATTGTGTATCCTGTACAAAAAAGAGAATCACAATTGGGAAGCTCAAGGATTGACTGAGCATATTAATCTTATTGAAAGCAGACTCTGAAAAATTTCAATTTTCAGGTATGTTCCTGGAAATCCTTTACATACCTTGAGCATCCCTTGTGTGTTCCTGAAGTTCTTCTGTGCCTCAGCAGCTTGACGGTTGGCATGGCTCAACTGGATTTCCATTTCATTCAAATCTCCCTCCATTTTCTTCTTGAGCCGCAGAGCATCATTTCTGCTTCTAATCTCAGCATCCAGTGTGCTCTGCATGGACTCCACCACCCTAAGGTGATTTCTCTTCAGCTGATCAATTTCTTCATCCTTCTCTGCAATTCTTCGGTCGATATCTGCCTTCACTTGATTGAGCTCCAGTTGAATGCGGAGGATTTTGCCTTCCTCATGTTCCAGTGAGGCCTTAAAACCAAAGAGTTAATGAGATGACACATTGCAGACCTCATGGCAAACATTTATACATTTAAGATTCATGAGGAGTGGTCAGCAGAGGCATTTTTTCTTCTTTCTAATACAAAAAGTTGTGGTCATCAAATGAATGATTAGCAGAATTTTCAAGACAATTAAACAGAAGCACTTCTTCACCCATCTATTATTTGGAATTCATTAAATGGAAGTAGAGGCTAACGGTACAAGGCTAGAAATTGGTGCTTATTATGACTGCTAAATGGAACTGGTGGCTTTAGAGTCAATAGTCCACCAACAGTTATTTGCTATAGGGTAATATTAGGAGTGGACTTTTGCCTTCATGCCCTGTCTGTGGGCTTCTTAGCGGTAAACAAGTTACTGGTTTAGATGGATCTTTGGTCTAATCTGGCAAAGCACTTCTTATTTCATGATATTCATATTGTCGTCTAGTTGCCTGTTTAATTATATCGCAGTATTACCAATCAGTGGCTTTCTTCTTCTTTTTTCCTATGAATAGCTGCATTATTACCTCAGCTTCCTCTAGAGATGACTGGAGTTCAGATTTCTCTTGTTCAATCTGCTTCTTCACTTTCTCCAGTTCATGGATGGCCTTTCCTCCCTCAGCAATCTGTTCCGTGAGATCAGATATCTCCTCTGTTAGGATCACACACAGAGAAAAAGGTGAATAGTGTTTATATGAATGGCATTAACCATATATTAGTGGTTAGCATGATTTATCCCAGCTCATCCATTGGGCCCAAGAATTATTACCGGTACTATGGTACTTGCATTATTTTTGTTGTAAGACTGAAGATCAGTCTTGTTTTATTTTTGTTTTTGTGCAACATTTAATAATCTAGCTAGAAAATTTATTTTAAAAAAACAAATCAAGAATAATGATTTCACTAAAAGTCTTACAGTTACCAAGTATGTGCTGTTTAAAGACATCTTAAAGATATCTATCACCACTGTGGATGAAGGAACTGTATGAAGACCTGTACAGTGCTGGTCTTGCCCTCGATGAAATGAGGCACTGGGTGTTGTTTTAAAAAAGCAACAGTTCATTATGTACAGGTATATCTCAGTTACAAAGCAAATATGTTCTATTTTTAACAGAAAATATGATATCAGTGGCAGAATTAATATGGGAAGAATACGGAGAAGTTCCTATGCTACAAAAAGGAACAGAACTTTAACATGTGTCGGCAAACTTTGTATTTGTATAATATGCATGTATGAAATGAAGAAACGAGGTCAGCCAAGCCTTGTGTAACTTTAAAAAAAAATGAAGCTTCTAGACACTACTTGAAGGCTACTTCCAAAATGCATCCAGAGATTATTTTATCTTTCATCACCTCCACTTTTCTTATGCTTTCCATTTTGGTACCAGTCCTATACCTTTTAAAAAAATTATCACCCCTCCCCCTTCTCTCTGTGTTGCTGTTCACACATGGGGATTCTGAACCCTGTTTACCTTGCCTTCAGTCTGACACCAAAAATCTGTGTTTCTCCAGTCCTCCGTCAACATCCTCCCAATGCTAGTAATGTTAAAATAAAAACCCTTCCAGAAGAGACAGTATAGGGCATGAATAACATGAATAACGGTGCTTTGTCAGAGGCTTTGTTAGATGAGATATGCCTGTATTGTATTATATTTTGTTATTATTGCAAGGAAAAGGAGAAGTACTGTTGGGATTCTCTGCTTCCGCTGCCAAAATAATTTGAGCAGCTTCAGGTACTGTGTATATTGGCTGGAGAGAAAGGTTATCATTTGCCATTTTGCCTTAAACAACCTGTTGTCTTTGATCAGCCCTAAACAAATGAGTAATGTCTAACAATGATATAGTAGTTGGACCTACGTTGAAGATTCTTGTTCTCGCGCTTCAGAGTTTCCAGGTGATCCAAGGATTCCTCATAAGCATTCTTCATCTTAAAGAGCTCTGTGCTGAGAGAGCGGGACTCCTTCTGTGAAGCTTCCAGTTCAGATTGAGTTTCCTCAAATTTCTGCTTCCAGTCTGCCAGAATCTGTAATACACCAAGGAATTAATTTATTAGACTTGGGGCCTTTATGCAACAGTCACTACCGGTAATTATTATTTGGGGGGGCTGTTGTTGTTGCCAAAAAAATACCTTATCAAAGTTCTTCTGCTTTTTATCTAGAGCTGCGCAAGCTGCATTGGACCTCTCCACATCTATCATCAGGTCTTCCACTTCATTCTGCAACCTTTGTTTTGTCTTCTCAAGGGAAGCACATTTGGAATTGACAGCTTCTACGTGTTCCTCAGCATCTTGCAGACGCTGGGCAAGCTTTTTCCTAGTGGAATGCAACCATAATGCTCATTAGGGGGAAAATATGAGATTCAATTGTATGCACCTGCTGGCAGTTATGAGTTGTAGTGACAGCACATAATAATTCATTATAATTGATAAGTGGTATTATCTACAATTTGAAGATATTTTATGTTAACATGCAATGATGTTAACACTTCATTAACACAATGTGTTAACGGAGTGCAAAACCAGCATGTTGCTTGTACTCATCCACTGATGTTTTATTCTCCACTGCCCCACCCATACATTCTCTATTAAAATACAGTTGGCCCTCCACATTTGCAGCTTTGACTTCTGTGGATTTGATTATTCATGGATTTAATATGCTCTCCCTAGGAATCTCAAGGTCCTCCAGCATGACTCTATGGCCAATTTTCACCAGACTTTGCACTAGAGGATTCTCTAGCACAATTCTATGGTCAACTTCTGGCAGATGTTGACCATAGATTTGCACTGGAAGACCTAGAGATTTGTAGATAGTTGTTCTCTTAGATAAAAAATAACAGTGTTTTTTAAATTCTTTTTTATTTTATTTTATTTTATTTTATTTACCATTTTCCCACTTTCATGGGGGTCCTGCATCCCTAACCCTAGAGAATATATGTACAGTTGACCCTCCACACTTGCAGCATTGACTTTTGCAGATTTGATTATTTACAGTTTTGACGAATATGTTCTCTCTAGGATTCTCTAGGTCCTCCAGTGCAATTCTGCCAGAAGTTAACTGTAGAGTTGGGCTGGAGAACCTAGATGTTCTTAGAGAGAACACTTCTCTAGGCATTGGTGGGTCCTCCAGCATGACTCTATGATCAACTTATGGCAGATTTAAAAAAATATTTATTTATAAGTTTTATGGTCTATAATACAACTTCTTGCAGATGTTGACCACGGAGTTGCACTGGAAGACCTGGAGATTCCTAGAGAGGTGTTCTCTTTGGTCAAAAGAATAGTGGTTGTTGTTGTTGTTTTTAATTTGCAGTTCTTCCACATGCACAGGGGTCCTCCACCCCTAACCCCAGCAAATGTGTAGGGACCACTTACAGAGACTCCTTACTCTGCAAAATGCATTTTTCCTATTTTAATGTTTTCATTTGTTGTTGTTGTTTTTAGCTTTCTTTGAGCTGAGCTTGACTCATAGCAACTGTGAATGAGACATCTCCAACTCTCATATCCATACATAGTAATGGAGGAAACATTGGCTTGGACTATTCTAACTGTAGCACTCAGTTGTATATCTTTAGACTTCAGAATCTTGTGAAGTTCTTTCATCGCTGCCCTTCCCATTCCCAGTCTTCTGATTTCTTGACTGTCATCTCCGTTCTGATCAATGTTTTTTCCAAGGTAAGGTAGCCAGCATGACATAGTGGTTTAAGTGTTGGACTGTGACTCTGGAGACCTGGGTTCAATTTCCACTTGGCCATGAAACCCACAGGGTGACCTTGGGCAAGTCACATGCTGTCTACCTCAGGGAAAGGCAATGGCAAACCTCCTCTGAACAAACCTTGCAAAAAAAAAAACCCATTAGGGTTGCCATAATTTGGAAATGACTTGAAGGCACACAACAACAACAAATGGGTACTCTTTGAATATTTCACGTTTCTTGACATCTAGGATGAATTCATAGTTTCTCAGTCTCCCTCCCTCCCTATCTTTTACCAGTTCTTGTACATACTTGGCCTCCTCAAGTTCCTCAGTGCGCTGAATGGCATCAGTCTCATATTTGGTCCTCCATTGGGCAACTTCACTGTTTGCCTTGGACATGGCACGTTGGAGTTCAGCCTTTGCTTCCTGCTCCTCTTCATATTGTTCTCGAAGGAGGTCACAGTCATGCCGAGCAGACTGCAAGCCATGGGCCAGTGCATTCTTAGCCTGAGGTGAAGGAAGAGCCGACTAAGAATTTCATGCCATATAACAAATTTCAGAGCTGTAGCCATGCCTAACAGTAATAATTAACCAGCAATCCTATACCCACTTTATGTTTAGGATGTTAAAACAGCTGAGTAGGTGCCTTCTTTCACTTAAAAGAATTAAATATTATTCAAGGGGCAAGGGAGAGTACCATAGCTAGATAAATAAGGAAAATTCCTGAGTATCTCCAGATGTCTCCAAATACGGATGAAGGAAGTGGGAAAAATTACTCTGGAAGAGAAAGAGAAAGCTTCTGTACAATAATTGTACTATCCAAAGCATTCATAAGGGGCCTACAAGTCAAGTTTCTTTCAGAGACTCTCAGAGTAATTTTTCCCACATCAACCCCCCCACTAACTTGTACAGATAGTACATTCAGCCCAGCCCCCCGCATCCACAGATTATGTATCCACAGATTCAACCAATTACAGTTCAAGAATATTCACACACAAAATTATCCAAAAAGCAAAGCTTGGTTTTGCTATTTTATATAAGAGACACAATTTTACTATGCCATGGGACTTGAGCATAATGGGACTTGAGCATCCACATATTTTGATATCCATGTGATGTCTTGGAACAAAACCTCAGTAGATACCAAGGGCTCACTGTAATTCTTAAAATGTACACGTTTAGATCCATTCAATATCCACACCTTTATCTCTTCCTCAAGCTGTCTCTTCAGTTCCTCAATCTGCTGAGTAAAGGCTTGCTTTCCTCTCGTGAGCTGAGAAATCAGTGCATCTTTTTCCTCTACTTGGCGTGAATATTCACCTGAGGAAGAGAAAATTCATTAGAATAATAATCAAAATGTACATTTCATTTTTAAATGTACATTTACTTAAAGCAAGACCTGGTTGAATCAGTGGGGATTATGGGTAAATAAGGCTGCATCTGCACTGCAAAAATAATCCAGTTTGACACCACTTTAACTGTCATGGCTTAATATTATGGAATTCTGGGAATTGTAGTTTTGTGAGACATTTATCCTTTTCTGTCAAAGAGCTCTGGTGCCACAACCAGCTACAATCCCAGGATCCCATACCATTGAGTCATAATAGTTAAAGTTGTGTCAAACAGGATTTTTTTTCTGCAATGCAGATGCAGCCTAAATAACCTTAGGATCAGGATGCATTTAACAAAAGCCTTAGGAAAATGGAAAAAATGTTCTATATTAAATCAAATAATACTAATACAGGGAGTAGGACATAATTTGAATAATTGTAGGATAACAAGTATTGCTTCGTTAAATAATTTGCTTTAGTATCTTACCTGCTTCTGTCTGCAGACGAGCTCTTTGAGCCGTCAAGTCATTGATAGTGCGCTGGTGCTCTTCCTCCTTTGCTTTAATTTCACTGAGCTGATCCTCTAGAGTGCGGCATAACTTCTCAAGATTTACCTGCATGTGAAATGTCCAAAAGGAAGATTTGAACATTGACCATAAATGAATTAGTTTGAACTGACAGAGGGATGCCAGCTTTTTAGGAGTTAATGTTTGGCCCCTGGTGCTTCAACATCTAGCTACTCTTAAATATAGGTCTTTAATAATAAAGTATATATCTAAGGGAAATAGCCAGTCCTGATATTTTTAGTGGTACACTAGAGTTAAAACAGAGGGACAAAAGGTGAGAAGGAATCTTCCAGGGTGTGGTGGGGACAAACAAGTTTGGATAACACAACAAGCCAGGGCACCACGTGAACCTTGACTTGTTATGAATGAGCAGCATGCTAGTGCATGCAGCCCTGATATCCGATTATAGCAGGGACAACTAGCAGAACCAAGGCTTTCTTTTGTCTTGGTTCTCTTTGCTTATTTGCTGGGAAAGAAACTAACCAGACAGGAGAAAGCACTCATATTCAAAATATACAATAAACCAACCACATGTTTCTTTACCTGCTCCCATTGCAAGCAAGTAGTGTGCACCAGCGAGATGACCACAGTTAATAACTCAAGTTTATTGTATTATCTGAACACAGTCAGTGTGTACAAAGGACATGTCTGAATTAGCATAACAACCCTGAGGTTGTTTCTTTACTGAAATATTTATAGAATGTATTTAGGCAACTTTTTAGAAAAACAAGATTGAAAACAGTGTATAAAAGAATAATCTGTGGGCAGAACGGGTACACCCTTCAGAAGCTAAGGGCCATGGAGGGTGTTCCATAGTTTGGATTCTTCCACATAATGTGAACATTATGTTTTGTTATTTTTATTGTTTTAAATTGCATTATTGTATTTTAACTCTTCAATAGTTTAATCTTGTTTTAATGAGATGGGAGGGTTAGATTGCGGGATGAGGGAATGTTTGTCTGTGTCGGTAAAAAAACAACCTAGTATATAACTTGATATTCTGTTTAAAATCAGGTATGTTGTCAACTACACTATGTATTTTATTTGGGACAATTTTTGCTTGAACACATACATAGATGTTTGTAATGGGTTTATGCATTTCTTTCAGTACTTAACATTATTCCTGGTGTTGCTTCATCTGCCAAAGAAAAAAACAAGGTATAATTTGTTATGATTTACCTTAGCTTTTGAGACAGATTCCATATTGCTAGCAAGGTCATCA